AGTTTCTATCCCGAAATCAGTAAGTTTCTATTTGATAATACAGTGAAATCGGTTGTATGTACATATAGAAAGAGTGAATTTTTAATGGTAACGTTCAAAAAAATTTCTAAGTTATTCATTAGGGACTTGTTTAACATCCTTCATAAACCGTTCAATTTGGCATTAAATTTTAGTTATTATTTCCAACTAATTTATTGACTTCTGAACTATCATTTTTTCAATGACTTTGAAAACTAACTCAACACCATTTTGACAAAAAAAAATAGTAACATAGTAACAAATCCTTTGATTTGATTGATTTTATACACTAAATAGAGTCAAAATTTTAATCATTAGCAATTGATATCAGGATCATTTTTGAAGCATTTTCATATTAATTGTTGATTTGTATTATATTTAAATTATATTAAACTTATAAAAATGAGAAAAATTTCTTTTTCAATTTAATAATTTTATGTGATTATTTTATTTATAATTATTTAAAATAATTTAATTGCTCAATATGAATAAATTAAATTTTAGACTTAATAGCCAAAACTTGCAAAAGAAGTTCGAAATGTGTTTAATTAGCCTAAAAAACATATACATATATATGATCATACATAATAATTTTTTTAATTTCTTTCTTTATTCAATTTCTTTTTTATACACTAGAAAACTTAATTTGCATCAATTTGATTCAGTAGTTGTGTTTGTCCAACTAAAACATTATCTTCCTTATATCAAGAGTTATAGTACCAACATATTGGTCCACCAATAATTTAGGAAATATAAAAAAAATATTATTGCATAATTTTCATACAATTATAATAAATAATTTTTAAGGATGAGACTATTAATAATTTTTATCTATTAATAAATTTTAGTTATGTTAAAAAAAAAAACAGTGATATAAATTTTACAGCCTCATGTAATCATTTTGCAAGTCCAGTTTTGGCATAGTTGTCAATCATGAAGAAACTGAATAAAAGATGCGCCTAACAAGACAATACAAATGAGTGAACAAAAGTCCTTTCACTTGATCGATTTATACACAATAGAGTCAAAATTTCAATCAATAGCAATCGATATCATTTTGAAGCATTTACCTATTTGAACGAGTATGAACAGCCTAAGAGTCAACACCAACAGCAAAGCAATAAGGAAGAATCGAGAAGCTGCCGCCCTAATCAAAAGCAAGAACCCTAAAACAAAACACAACACTTCCTATTTATATTAAACCCATACATCATACCCATTTCACTTAATCCAAATCCATGTTACAAACCCATTAACCCGTTACAATAGACAGTATACAATACAGTAGGCCCTAGAGTAAGCAAATACAGCACCCTTGTAAATATAAATAGAACCCATTGTACCAGCTCTACGTAATTGAGAAGAGATATATAGTTTCTTCACTCTGTTTGTTTTCTGTTCATGGTATCAGAGCCTCCTCTGATATTTGAAGTTTTAGAGCTTTCTTCAAGCTTCCTTTCCTGAAATTAATGGCAGAAACTCATGATCAAAACAATGAAAACACAATTGTACAATCAGAGACTTACAAAGTTTCTGCATCTGAGAATTCAGCTTCAAATCTCATCAATATTTCCTTGAATGGCCGGAATTTCTTATCATGGAGCAGATCCATGACCATAGCCTTGAAGGCCAGGGACAAATATGAATTTGTCACTGGTGAAGAACAGGAACCTGCAGCTGGATCTCCATTGAGAAAGAGATGGCAGAGGATCGACAATCTGGTAACATCTTGGATCTTGAACTCTATTTCTAAAGATCTAGTTGAAGCATTTTTGTATTATACCAGTTCCAAGGAACTTTGGAATGAATTAACTACCAGGTATGGTGACTCTAATGGACCTATGATTTACCAAATAAGGAAAGATATTTCAATAACTGTGCAAGGTAACCAAACAGTAGCAAATTACTACACTAAATTGAAAAAACTCTGGGATGAGTTGGCTTGTTTAAGGCCCATCCCCAAATGCACATGTGGAATTGCAGAAAGGTGTACCTGTGGAGTTGTGAGAGCAGCCTCTGATCTAGATAGAGAGGAGAAACTTATGCAATTCCTCTTAGGACTGAATGATACATATGATAATGTTAAAAATCAAATTCTGCTTATGGATCCATTTCCAAACATGAGCAAGGCCTATTCAATGGTACTAAGTGTTGAAAAACAGAGGGAGGTGAATACTGCGATCTATGACTCAAGTGAGAATAGCAGTGCAATGTATGTGCAAAAATCAAACTACAATAGTAGAAATACAAGTAATAGCTCCAGATTTAAAGCTGACAAGCACTGTGATCACTGTAATGGAACTGGCCACACTAGAGAGACTTGTTTTAAACTGACTGGTTATCCAGACTGGTTTATTGAACTCAAAAAGAAAAAGAAAGCTCAAGCACATTTTGGACAAGCAGAAGATGAACAATCAATTATTAAATCAGGAGACAATGAGAATGATGTATCCAGAATGGTGAGAATGGAGGTCCAGCGTGCAATCAAGGGCAAGATGCAGTATGATGATAAGGCAGGGGATACACCTGTAGCTAATGCAGTCAGTTTTGCAGGTATTGTTTCTCATTTTCATTATAATGTGCATGATACCAATCGAGAATGATGTATCCAGAATGGGGGTGAGAATAGGCAGGCATCCGTGGCCACTCAAGGGCAAGAAGTCGCCAGTTGATGATAAGGCGAGGGGGGTAGGGATACACAACCCTGGGGTGGCTATACTTGCAGTCACTGAATTAGTCTTGGGGCAGGTCAGGTTTCTTCCGCATTATTCAATTGTGATGTGGCCTATAAGGTATGGAATTTGAAGTTTCTCATGGGAAAGTTGAAACACTACAGAGTGCGCTTGGCAAACTGAGTCAATGTGTCTGGGAACATGCACAAAATTG